TTCAGCTTCTTACGCTAGAAAGAAGTAAGGTTATCTAAAAGTTATTAGATCTTTTCGCCTGTGGCTATAAAAAAGGCAGACAACACACAACTAAATGAAATCTAATAGTTAGCTTTTTCAATGCAAAGTTTAGCTAGCACTATCATATGTTCGATAATAATTGTACCTTTCTTGTCTCTCTTTTGGTGGGGCTGCAGTATATTGCACACAGGAGCTAGCCAGTACCAAGACATTGCATTGTTGGACACAAAGCCCTTTGGAAAGGTTCACACATACAACAGAAAGTTACCTTTACGGATAAGAAAAATTAAACTAACCTCTTGTCTACTATATACTTTTGCAGGCATTGGTACTTGATGGAAAGCTTCAGAGCGCAGAGACAGATGAATTTATCTACCATGAATGTCTTGTTCATCCGGCTCTTCTTCACCATCCTGTGTACTTCCTCTTCTCTTTAATAATAAAAGATCTTACGACATTTAAATAGCATCTGAACTTATTTTCTTGATCTTTTTCATTACATTTTCTAGTCCAAAGAATGTTTTTATTATGGGAGGAGGAGAAGGGTCTACTGCAAGGGAACTCCTCAGGCATAAGACTATAGACAAAGTTGTAATGTGTGACATAGATGAGGTAAAATCTCCAATGTACAAAGATAGATCTTCATTGTAAAGATGGAATTACTATGGTAATCATAATTTTTTCAAGAATATCAGTATCTAGGTTAAAAATTCATGTTTGATGGGGCAGGAGGTGGTGGAATTTTGCAAATCATACCTAGTTGTAAACAGGGAAGCATTCCTTGATTCAAGACTCCAGATCATCATCAACGATGCCAGGTCTTATAATCAAATAGTATCATGTGCTTGTTCCATTAACAATTATTACCAATATTAATAATACCTGTTATGTTGCAGGGCTGAACTAGAAGCCAGAGAAGAGAGCTATGATGTGATAATTGGCGATTTGGCAGACCCAATAGAAGGAGGTCCTTGCTATAAACTTTACACCAAGTCCTTCTATGAGTTCACTCTCAAGCCCAAACTGAAGAAGGGTGGCATATTTGTGACACAGGTATAAGGGTGCAAGTACCTATGTGTCAAAAACTAGCTAAAGGAAACAGAATTCAACAACCTGTGTATATTGTTTTTATTCTTATGCAGGCAGGACCAGCTGGAATATTCAGCCACACAGAAGTGTTCTCATGTATCTACAACACCTTGAGACAAGTTTTCAAGTGTAAGCAATCTTCCAGGGGGAAAAAAAAATTATTCAGTTCTTCTTCTGAATATGTTGTTACTGTTTTATATAATGCTGCTATTTAGAGTTCCAATTACGTCAAATTGACCTTCGCTATTTACGTTTGCAGATGTGTTGCCTTATTCAGCTCATATCCCATCTTATGCTGATATTTGGGGATGGGTCATGGTAATATTATTGATAATTAAATTTCAAGTTTTTGCTTTGTAAAGTATTCTTATCTGCATAAGTAAAAAGTTGTTCAACTTTTGGAAAGTTCTTACTAGATACTTTTGGAGACAAGACCATAGAAACACTTAAATAATTCATAATTATGCAGTTGTACCTTACCAAATCTAAAAGCTGTTTACCATTGTCCTTGGACTATACCAGGCTTCAGATTCACCATTGGACCTGATTGCTGAAGAACTAGACATCAGAATGAGGCAGAGGACTAAAGGGGAAAATAGATATCTTGACGGGAAAACATTTTCATCAGCCTCAACTTTGTGCAAAGCTGTTCGCACCTCGTAAGCGAAATTATAGACCTATATATGTCCTTGTAGTTATTCTCCTCAAATATTCTATTATTGACATATTTTCAATGACTCTTATTGGTAGGCTGGACAATGAAACTCATGTATACACCGAGGGAGCAGCTAGGTTCATATATGGTCAAGGCAAGCATGCATAACCAAGCTTGAGAAGTTAAGCAAAAAGACACATAACGCAAAGTTAAATTCCTTCCACGATTTTTCTTTCATCATATGTATTTCCTGCTCTTCTCTTTTTCTTTTTTTTCCCATTTTGGCGTGTAGTTCACCTGAAAAGGCTTGTAACAAAGGATTACCAGTGGTCCAGTGGGTCCCATTTTGTGCTTCTACATACATGGGTATGCTCACTGCATCTATGGATATACCAATATTTTGATTATGTTAAGGAAAAAAAAGAAAAAGAGAAAGGACTAATATAGGCGTAGCCACTACTACTATCACCTTTTTCGTGGGAAATGTATTCAGTGGTCGTGTTTATGATGATATATTCACTACACCTTAGACCAATGGAATTGCAACTTCCAAAAACTACATTTGCACATTACGCTTTTACATTTACAATGTTTGTGGGGTAATAATGCAAAGCCCATTCTTTTTACAAATTCATATGTAATTGAACTGCAGATATAATTTCGTATAAGTATTTTACATTACCAAATCCCATATGTATTTTTGCGCATTAAATTGACACTCTTTTATTTCAAGTTTTGTTCACACTTCATACATCATTATTCTTTTTTGGGTGTAATAATACATTTTTTTTCAAAGGGGTAGTAGATTAATTTTTGGGTTTGGTGTTTGTCATTTTAAATAACATAAGTTATGTCATGTTAGGAGAGAGATAGACACAGAAAAACGAAAATCATGAGAGAGAAAGTGGTTTTTTTTTAATTTAAAATTCAAATTTTCTGTGTTTGTATCTCTCTTGAAATGACATAACTTTCTGTCATTTAAAATAACACACTTTTCCCTTAATTTTTACGTAAAAATGAAAATAATGTAAAACTGATGTGAAAAAACTGCCGTGAGATGCTCAGCGAATTAATATATAGAGACGTATAAGAGAATGTCGATCCCACTTTTATAACCCTAAAAAAATCACATGAATTGACTGCTGTTAGTTTATACTAGTAAACACAAAAATTGATCAATGACAACGCCCAGAGATAATCCTCTAATTTATATCCAATTGTGGTTTGAACAAAGAAGACTCTGCGAAGTCTGGATTCAGTTTCAATTCCCTTATAGCTAGTTCAATAGTCCATACTTGAATTTAAATTCTTAGGTCTCGATCCGTGAGTTCTGATATAATTTTACTTTACTGAGAAGGTAATTCATGCTATGTGTGAATCCCTATTGCCAACATTGATCAGAAATTTCTAACATCCATTTTAGCTCAAATCAATCAGCAATTTTTCACTGTTACAGTGCAATTATTAATAGGAAAAATAAAGCTACAAAACTCTGTTCTTTTGGTTTTGGTATCATGAGTCCAGTACTCTGTTGCAAGCTAGATAAAGTTAAAGCAATTAATATTCCAATATATGTTTTTGACACACAAAAATCATAAAAAGAAGTTAAAATACAGATAAAGAGTTTAACATTTCTCACATAAATGTGATCATAAGTGTATCATAATATAAATCATACACCTAATTAAGGGATCGCTCAGCTCTCACAAATCATACACTTGCTTAGCAGTGAACTTGACCTCAGCCAGGCTCCACCCTGCATTCAATGGTCTGGTTCCAAAGGATAGAACAACGACAGAAAAACAGAAAATTCACTATCAATCAAAAGATTTACTACCATTGACATGTAACAGCCTTCCTAACTTCATGTAGCCCAAAAATTTTATTGCATGACAAGACGCATCTACAATTTTGGTTGATTAATTGACTTAATTCTGCAATTGAAAATATTTGCATTAATGGTTTTGTATTTATTTCAAAAACTACATTTTGTTTACATCACGTAAATGATTGTATACTTACATAATCAAAATAAATGATTTTACAAATTAGAAGAATGAATGTAACTTGTTAAACTGATAATATTTACCAAACGTACTTTATAAAAATGAAGTTTGTTTGATTAATATAAGATTTTTTTTTTTTTGCATGTAAATGACTATTTTAATGATATCTTAAAATGTTGGTTTAATGTTTATTAGGTCATAGGAGATAAAATTAATTTTTGAAACTCCAAAAACATCATTTATTTTTTCTAAACCCCAAAAGGCGTCTTTTTATTACTTGTTGATAGCATATTATTTCATTATTGAGTTGGATCCCTTTAATTACCAAAAATAAGAAAACAAGTAATTAAAATAATAGGGGACTAGCAGGCCTCACAAGCTCTAGACGATTATGGTTAAAATTGTCTTACATTCATATATAAACTAAGGAAAAAAGAAGTATCATTTAAAAGGACACAAGTTGTATCCTTTTAGATGATTTACACAAAGTATGACCGGTCATACTTTGTGTAAATCTAAAAAGTTGTTCTTTTTTCTCTTTCCTCAGTTACATTGCTGACATGTAAAGTGAAAAAAAGTAACTTTTCAGAATTATACAGAGTATGACCGGTCATACTCTGTGTAAGTCACTAAAAGAACACAATTTGTGTCCTTTTAAATAACACACACTAAACCCATAAACTAATGGATAAAGGGCCTTATCTACCAAGTGAATAGTGTCAAACCTAAACATCTTATATTCTAAGACAAACCCATTCTTTGGCAAGTCCGCTGACGTGTCACTTCCTCCTTCAATTTCAGCTTTGCGTTCACACTACAAAAATTTGAAAACTTTCCTTCTTTGGTAAATCAGTGAATAAAAAAAATATAAAAGAAAATCTAATTTTGAATGAAAATCGATGGACAAGATTTCATAACTCAAATCAATGGTACAAATTTGTTATAAATTGTAGTGGCAGACAACTCATTTAAATTTGAATTTTGGAGTTGAAAATTTAAATTTGATTTTTGAAATCTGACAACTCATTTAATGTTCAGCTACTTTCTCCATTGGAATTGCTAAACATTTAAAAAATACATCTGCTTCTCATTGTTCTATGCGATTGCTTAAGGGCGATTTTGTTGCTCCTCTTCATTTTTTCCTTTAGTTGCCTCTGACGCATATCAGTGAAAACATACAGCCTCAAAGGAATCAGCTTCTTCGTTGTCTCTTTGATCGTCTTACCAATATGTTTTCAAAATATGATTTTCTGAAGGATGTGAGTCCTGCCAAGGAGGACTGGAGGATTAAGGTGAAGGTGGTTCGGGCTTGGAAAGTTCATAACTTTCAACGTAGAGATTTTGACGACAATGTTGAAATGGTTTTATTGGATGAACATGTAGTTGTCTGCGTTTTTTAAATCATGGTTCTTTGCATTTTTTAAATCTTCCATCTTTTGTGAGTTCGCTGCGTTCTTTTGTAGGGTGGTAGGATCCGCGCCACTGTCAAAGGTTCGTTGCCGATTCGGAAGAAAATCCACGAAGGAGACTGCTATTTTATAAAAAAAATTAGAGTTGGATTCAATAGCGATGTGTTCAGGCCAACCAAGCATCAATATCGTTTGTCTTTCAATTTGAGGACTGATCTTAAATCAATTGTTGATTCTAATCTTTCTGCGAGTGAATTTGATTTTGTTGATTATGACATCATTGAGAAAGAAACATCTGACTCTCCTTATTTAGTGGGTAATATAATTTTCCTAACCGTTTTCATTTTTTAATTTTTGCATATTTTTTACAAACTCTTTGTTGCCCTCTTTTTTTTTGTAGACGTCATTGGTTTAATCTCAGGAATTGGTGAAGTTTGTGAACGTGTGGTGTCTGGTAGGAAGACGAAAATGATTGTGTTGGAGCTTGACAACCTGAGGTATTTAAAATTGTAGATTTAAAAAATTTAATTTTGTCGAGCTCTGTTAGCTTATATTTTTCGTGTATTACTGTTGTTGTTGCTGCAACTCATATGAAGGGGTCAAAAGCTGGAGTGCACTTTGTGGTTGCATTATGCGGATGAGGTCTAATCTTTTATGGCAAACAACGACACTCCTCATAACGTCATGATAGTCCAGCTAGGCAGGATAAAATGTTTTAAGTGTATGATTTTAAAACAACGACACTCCTCATAACGTCATGATAGTCCAGCTAGGCAGGAAGGGTATGATTTTAACAATCTTTTTTGACAAAACATTATGCTTCTGTGTTCTGTTTAATTCACGTTTTTTATTTTTTGCTTTTCGGTTTTTATTTGATATGCTCAACTCGATAGGTAAGGTTGGGTTAACAAATACAAAATATACAACGAGGATTGTCATGGATTCGAAGATGCCAGAGATCGTTGTGTTCAAAAAACGGTGTGTTTTGTTATTCTTGAACTCATTTGACAATTTATTCGGAAAGTAGTCTGAGGATGATTCAGTTGTCTACTTAGTCCTCCTATTCTTACGAAAATAATTTTCTGAAGGAGACAGAAAAGAAGTCTATCAGTGATGTGAAGCTTTGTGGTGAGGTAAATATCGAATTTCTGTTTTTTCGCTTTTCTTGAATTATATCAAGTCTGTATGAATGACGTTTCCTGTTTGCCTGCGATTGTTATATTTAAGGTTACGACTTGCATAACGTATAAGACTATAAAATCTATTAAGAGCAAATACAACTGGTGGTACAAGTCTTGCAAAAAATGTCCATTTTCTGTTTGTGAGGATTTTGAGAAGTGGTACTGTAAGAACTGCCCAAAACATTGGGAAGATTATTATCCGAGGTAATATATTGTTATTGGTTTTTAATTTGTCTTTAATCTGTATGCTTAATATTTTTGATATACAATTTTGCAAAACGATAGATTTAGTGTTCATGTAAGAGTTGGTTACGATTTGCATCACGTATGGGACTATAAAATCTATTGAGAGCAAATACAACTGGTGGTACAAGTTTTGCAAAAAATGTCCATTTTCCATTTGTGAGGATTTAGAAAAGTGGTACTGTAAGAACTGCCAAAAATATTGGGAAGATTATTATCCGAGGTAATATATTGTTCTTGGTTTTTAATTTGTCTTTAATCTGTATGCTTAATATTTTTTTTCTGATATACAATTTTGCAAAACGATAGATTTAGTGTTCAGTTAAGAGTTGTGGATAACACGGATTCCGCATCATTTCTTCTGTTTGATCACGACTGTGTGTCTTTGTTGGGGACGAGTGGTGGTGAATTGCGCGAGCTGCATTTCAAGAGGGTTTGTATTATCATTGCTATGAAGTATTGAAAATGTATATTTTGACGTAGAGTTCACTCTGTTTGCGCTGTAGTTGTTATTTTTTTTCCTGTTTAATTGATCATCCTTTTTTTTCTGTAGGGTTCTTATTTTCTGTAACCAATAAAAATTGATTATTTCAAGAAATAAAAAACAAAATAAATTTTAATATTGGATATAATTATTTAAAGAAATTTTACAATTCTGACGGTTGATGATGTTAGGATGTGAAAAGTTATTGGAATAAATTGTCTTTTTTTCGTTTATTTATTTGTTGGTTTCTTTTGAGCAATTGTCAATAAAGTTTATTTTTTTGATTCTTCCTTTTTTTTGTTTATAGCTTTGGGAATTTAAAAGTCACACTAACAAACGGATTGATTATAGCAGTGAATGGAATTGCTGCATCGTTATTTTTGTAATTGTCGAAAAACGAAACGGTACATGTGTCCCCAATTGTCTTTTAGTATTCCTAAGACCATCAAGTAATTATACAGGTCTTTTGGCATTAATAGGGATTTAAGAAAATGTAAATCATTAAAACAAATTATTGCTTTGTGCATTGGAATGGACAAGGCTAATAAACAATCCACTTGAAACATCATAATTGAACATCATAGTGTTCCTTAAATATTTAGGACTTAGGAGTTATGGAAAATATGAAGAGTCTTAATCTTTAATGGTAAATTAAGATTCCTATAAACATTAAAATATTGTACCAGTTTAATGCAATGATGAAAAAACCGGACCGGACCGGCCGGGTCGACCCGGAACCCGGTAAACCGGTCACCTGACCGGTCCGGTTAGCTCTTTAGATCGGGGATGTAACAGACCCGGGGCGAACCGGTACGACTCGATCAGGTTTTTAGAGAACCGGTGACCCGGCCGGTTTTTAGTTGAACCGGCTGGGTCATGTATATTTTTTTTTTTTGAAAAAAAACAAAAATGACGTCGTTTGTGTTGTCCATCACAATTCACAAAACCACAAAGGCACAAAGCCACAAACAAAGCACCCGAGGAAGAAAAAGAAAGAGAACAGCTGAGACTGTGAGAGATTAGAAGTAGATCTACTCCACCCGAGGAAGAAAAAGAGAACCCCAAGCAGATCTGATCTACTCCACTTTGAGAATCGATTGAAGCAGTGTTTAATCTGACTTCAGGTTTGGATTTTTTGAAACCGTAACAAATTGTTTGGAATTTCTGTTCCTTCTCATCGATTCCACCCAAGATATTTGCTGTCATAAGAAATCTATACTGGGATGTTTGTTTTCTAATTGGAAATGCTCCTTTTTTATAATTTGATGGTAAATGGTATGGGATTGTAATGATCCGGTTTGTCTTATACATATGCATTTCCACTGTTCGATAAAAGATCTGAATGAACACTTGTTTTGAGATACACCTTCATTAGTAAATGAAATATGTGTTATACATTCCCTTGTTTCAGTAATTTCGTGCATATTATTCAAATTGATTATGACCATAAAAGGTGATAACTTGTAATTTCAAATGAAGCCCGAATAGTTGGAGATGGATAACATATTTTCTTGTTCTTAATTTATCCATTTGTAACTTCTCGTTGAATTAGTCTTTCTACAATTCTACATGAGATTTTGTTGTACTAGATTATTAAGCTTACCAATTGCAACTCATTCTACTTTTGAAATCAAAACAAAAAGACGTGTAAAAAAATTTGAATAGGCATCTACAAATATGATGTAATACTTTGAACCAGAAGTACTTGCTACTGGTGCAGGACCCCAAATGTCAGATAAGACAAGTTCTAGTGGACTTTTGTAAACAGTAGTGTGGTAGGTAGATGTAATTGATGCATTTTTGCCATGCAACAAGCACAACACAATTTTGTATCTATTTTATTTGTAAATGGTATATTTCAGTGCCTAAGGACCAACTTTACAGTTTGGAGAGAGGCATGAGCTAATCTCGAATGCCATAGATCTAGAGTAGAGTTTCTAGATGTATTATTACATGAAATGTTTGAACAGGTATTTAAAGCCATAGCAGTAGAGGTAGGACTTGAATCAGCAGTGACTCTTTTGATGTTTTGTGACTTTGTGCCAGCATCAAAAGCATAGAGTCCATTCTTAAGCTTGGCTTGGAGAAGGATCTCCTTGGTAGCCTGAGATTTAACATAGCAAACATTAGCATGGAATTCAAAGTAAACATTGTGCTCTTTGGCAAATTGAGAAACACTGAGCAAATTTTTTGATAAGCTAGGAACATGTAACAAATTTGACAATTGAAAGGATATAGGACAGATAGTAGAATGCAAATTTGAGTGTCCAATGCTTTTGATTTTCAAGTTAGAGCCATTACCTACTTGAACAGTTTCCTGACCATTATACTGTGTTTTGTGTACCAGGTTGCTTGCATCAGGTGTGAAATGATTGGTGGCTCCTGAGTCAGGGTACCAGCTGGAATCCGTGGCTGAGAAGTAGTCAGAAGGATCACCAAACTGACTTGATCCAGCATATGAGGCTGTATCTTCTTGTGGATGTGGACTGATAGAGTTTGTCACTGCCATATTTGCTTGGAAATTTCCACTTCCAGTGTTGGTGTTGTTGTTGCTATTCTGAGGATAAGAAGATTGAAAGTTATGAGGATAAAGAGACTGGAAATTCTGGTTATACCTGTGGCGGCATTCCCAGCCAAGGTGACCAAACATCCCACATACTTGGCACTGTGGTCTATTGTTTGCAAAGAATCTGCCTCCTCCTCCTCTTTGGAACCTGTTTCCTCCTCTGTGTCCAGAAAATCTTCCTCTATTCTGATTGAAACTCCCTCTAAAACTTCCTGGAAAGTTATTCTGTCTTCTATTCTGCAGTTGTGTCATGTTCACTGCATAGATGCTGCAAGATTCCTCTTGTTCTTTTCAAGCCTTTGTTCCTGAGCCATAAATAATGCCTCTATTTCTCCTACAGTGTAGGGATCTGATCTGGAAATCACTGATGTTACAAATGAATCATAGTCTTCATTTAGACCATCTAGAATAGCATCTATATGATCTTCTGTGTCAACTTTTGAACCAGTGGCAGTAATAGAGTCCACTATTTTCTTGATTTGAAGTAAGTATTTAGACACATCTCCTTCTTTCTTTGTGTTCTTTAACTGAATCTTTAACTATTTTATCTTTGCTCTTGTTTGTGAAGCAAAAAATTCATGAAGTTTTTGCCAAACTTGGAATGAGGTAGTGCATCCTACCATGCGTGTGTATAGGCTTTCTGACATGGAAGACAGAAGCCATGACAGAAGCAACTGATCTTGCTGAGTATCAAGATCCTTTGAACTAGATCTTTGAAGATTCTGAATTGTAGCAGTACTTGTATCTCTAGCTTCATTTCCAGTACTTGTTGAAGATGAATCTTGTACTTCTTTTGTGATGAACCTTGTTAAGTTATAGCCATTAATTGTTGTTGATGCCTGTTGTTTCCATGGCAGGAAATTATCTTCATTCAGCTTGAAGGATACAGGGTTAGAGAACGTGTGAACAGAGTTAAGCGCAGTGTTGGTGTTTGTCTCCATGGATCTGTTTAGCTCTGATACCATGTGAGGTATCACAGCTATGGTGAGAGGAAGAAAGGAGAGAAGGAAGAATGAAAGAATCGAGAGAGAGGGAATTGAAAAATGCTATTAACTCTTATCTTACAATAATGTATAGTTGTGTATATATATACATCAGAAGCAAAGTTGTTATAACTAAATTCTGTTTTCCTGAAATAACAAACTCAGAGTAACTTAATTGATTTGGGCCTACA